CCGTCCCGCTCCGCCCCGCCGGACACACCACCCCGCGTACCAATCAGAGAAAGGAGAGTACAAGATGAGATTATCGCGCACACTATCGCCGCCCCACACCTCACTAGGAGTAAACACGGTTGTAAATAAGGCGGCTTACGTAACAGCCCGCGGAGCCAACGCGAAAATCGTGGCCGAGTGACGGGCGTGACGGGGGCGTCACCGCCGTCGCCCTGCGGCCCCCGCCCCCCGCGGCCGGAGCTGCGAGGGGAGGCGAGGAGGAGAGTCCACTCCTCGGTCCACTCGCACCGCACCAGCCCACTCAGCGCGCAGGGAGGCGAGGGCGAGACCACTTGCACAACCCGTGTGTGTGTGTTTGGGCGGTTCGGGTCGTCGGGGTCGTGACCTTTTCTTCGCCAAAAACAAACCACTACAAAACCGTTTCCACAACCACCGAAGGCGAGTGCGAAAACAAAAGCAGCCCCTATGGCCGGGGCGACACGCCTGACCCACGTGACGGCAGGACACGTGCAGATGTGCCGCCGGGGGTGTTCGGTTTGCTCGCGGCTCGGAGAGCGGGGTTGCCTACCCTCCTCCCGTCGGGCGCCATGCCACCAATACCGCCTCCCGAGCGGGTGTGCAATACCGCAATACAGCTTCCGCGGAGCGTTGAAACGCATAAAAAACCACCCCCGCGAGACCTAAGGCTGCAATCATATTGAGATCCTATCAAAATCATTCACAAAATGAAAGCATGTGTGAGCACGCTTGGTCGTAAAGCTGTGTGTCCGGCCGGCGCCCCGGCGCCCCGACGCCCCCCGCACCAGAGCAGCGCGCTCTGCTCTTGTAGAGTGGCCTCTGCGCGTAAACAAGTCCGCGCAAATGGGGTCGCGGGGTATTCCCAGAGAAGCCGCCACACCGCCATCAAAACCGTGACACTTCACATCTTCTAGAAGGCGATGGTGTCCTCCCGCACGGCCGACCGGCGACGCGCCATGTGCCAAGAAGTGCGTGCTTCGCGCTCCGGCCCCGAGGGAGTCTGCGGGCCCGCCCCGCGCGCACCCGCCGCGGACTTCCCTCCCCGCAGCGCCGCGGAGCTCGCCGCCCTCGCGGCCCGGCCCGTCTTCTGGACGGGTCCCCGCGGCTCGCTCCGCGGACCACTTCATCATCCTGACGTCAAAGCGGCTGCCGCCCGGCTTCACTCTCTGGAACATACTACTAGAGGGGCGTACGTCAGCCGCCCCCGCCC